TGTTATTGATAAGAAGATTGCCTGACTCAAATTTCTCGACCGACTCAAATGGCCAGAATTTCACATAGGACTATTGAGGAAATCCCTTTTTAAAATTAGTCATTCGTACGGATTCGATATCAATATCTATAAATGTTCTCTTTGATACTCCGGTCGATATTATCACGACTACAAAAATATCACTGAAACAAACAAAACATTTGAATAACATATTTTTTTATTGTAATAAGTTCCCTCTTATTATAAAATCTACTAGGGTGAAACATGATATTCATGTAGCCAAAAATGTCATCCTATAATAAACATTTTTATGAAAGAAATAACAGACTTCATGGAAGATAAAGTGATTTCGTCTCATCCCCTTTGCTACATTTCTTTCATAATATGATTAATGTTTTTCGAAACATGATATTGTGATTTCTTATGTAACATTTATGGATTAATGTAGTATATTGGTTTTTTTCATCATCATACAAGCTTTAGTTGTTATTGATGCATAACAACCAAAAGGAATTGGACACGATGTAGCCTACTAAAACGTTCATTGTGAAATTTTTGTTAATTATGATTGAAAGAGCAATTACAACCACTGTAATAATGGTAGTTTAAGCACTTGATTTAGAACCAGAAATAGGTTACATATTTCAATAATGCCCAACTTACCGCTATGTAAACAGTTGGATAATATCATATGAAGTGGTATAACTCAAAGCTGAGTACATGAATTTTGTACACGGTAAGTTCTGTTGATAATGTTAATGTAATGGATTTGTGAAGATTATTGGATTTTATATTTAACATTACAAACGTACCTTATTTAGAACGTTGAAAACCAGGAAACATTAGACAGGCGTTTTTTCCTAGTATTGGTCTCCTCAGCAGTCTTTGTTTATGGACCCCCCAGAAGTTGAATTCAAGCCATTGGATTTTGAAAATAAGTGCCTATCGTTCAGGCCACTAAATCAACAAACAGTGGATAACATTTTATCTTCAGTCAATGCGCGGAATTTCGGGACTATCTTCTAATGTTATTAGTGTGTAGTTGCCTCACACTCGACCTAGTTGCACTTTACTGTTCACGGCTTGTCATTAGAACTTCACCAATTATCCTCCAAAGTTAGCCACTAGTACGCACATAGGTATGATATGAATTCAGGGACTAATGAGTATAACCGTATTAATAACTATAATACAGACATGAAAACGTACTAATCTAACTTTGGTTATTATTTTTTTCCAGTAATATATTATTACTTCATCCATGTTTTACATAAATATACATATTTAAAACCACACCTTATTCATAAAATTATTTATGTGTAGCATTTAAAATTAGTTAAATGAATTTATTTACTCCTTTTATAACAGTATATGTTGCTTTTCATATTGTAATCAAGCAAATACGAAATTTCTCTACACATTAGTTCTCAACAAACACTGGTCCTTAAATTCCACCTATTTTGGTTCCTTAGACTTACTTTTTTTACTGACTTGTTTTAGTATATCTCTTTTCTACGTATTATTATTTTTTTTTCAATACTTAGATTTTATTTTAGTGGCTTTATAGAAACGTGGATGTTTCTCTTGTTTGTATTAATCTCATTGAAAGTTGAATGATATTACTAATTCCCACCCATTCAATTTCGTTGTTTGATTTTGTTATCACTGTGTTTGGAACCTGTTTCTTTAACAAAGAATTATATTTTACCTAGTGAGAAAAAAACTGAAACCAAGGGAAACAATTATTGTATGACTTTTTGTGTGTTTGAATAAGACACTAGTTAAGGTTCAATTATATTTATTTAAGATTCCCAATGGAATTTTTAAACAATGGTAATTGATTTATTTCCTGTTCATGTTTAGCATCCAGGCACCATTTTTTCATTATCATTGTTGTTTTGGCCTCATTATAGTACCCTTACTTTAACTTGATATCACCAGCTGTTAATTAGAAATGTGTAATCACTTGTCTATTTGATGATGTAAAAGATATAGTTGAATTTTTAAATGAAATAACTTTAGATAACTATCTAGCATTTTCCTAATCTATCGAACTAGAATAGGATTTATTCTTGAATGAAATATTGTTGTTTGAGTAATGCCGAACAATTGGAATGACTGTACACTTTGAAAATATCTATCATTTTTAGACACAGATTTAAGAATAAATAACGTTAAGAAATTAGCAAGCACTAAACAAAATTTGTGTCCTAGTACATAGAAGGTCTCATTAGTGCAAAACTACAACTTTACATGGTTTCAAGCTGATGACCATCAGTTTCATAAAGATTGCTTTATCTTTTCAACCACTGCGTTGCTATTTGATAGTTTACATTTCAAACTTGAGTCTTTGTGATCATTGACAGATATTGACAAAAATAATGTAATCGGCTAAGTTTTATAATCTTGCTAGGAAAATCACAAGCTATTTAGTTGTTTTTGAACTAGTGTTCGTTCTTTCTTGTGATAATAGCTCTTCCACAGTACATTTGTTTTGACTCATTTCTTCACATGACCTTTGCTGTTTTTTGACTGTTCGTTGTCACTTTTAGTTTACCATTTTTCTGTGTCTTAATGCCAAGTTCAGTGGTCATATATATTCATATAATTTCACTTTAATTTTGCCTTTGATAATTATCATGGTTAAAGAATTGTGAGTTAGTTGCTGCCTTATCAAGTTTTCTGCAATCTCCGTTCATATGAGAATAATCTTGTTCACAATAAAGAATTTACCGTAGACCTCGGACTGAACACATCGCAAGATACAACAAAAATAGATCAGTCTTAAGTTCGAACTCCGCTAATTGGTTGTTCCTACATTTTTTCCAGACTATTATTGTAGTTTAAAACTTAGTTTAAAATAAATACTTGATCTCTAAAATTTTATAATTTTATATATATTTTTCTTGATTTTATGTAAACAATGGCATTCAGTCTATTTATAGTTTTTTCTAAAAACTCAAACAACTTGGTTTTTGATTGAGATCATGAACCGATTAATTTTAGACCACCATTAAAAACCTGGAGGCACTGGACGGCCGCTTTGTCCTGTTGTGGGACTTCTTAGCAACCCTGGGTTCAAATGTCGCGAGCGGTATCGTGGAAGCTTACTTCTGAGGAGTCCCACAATGGGACGAAATGGCCGTCCAGTACTTCCAGGTTTTCAATGGTGGTCTAACATCAATCGGTTCATGATCTCAATCAAAAACTTAATAATCTTCACAACACCATACTGATAATTTGGTTTTTCCTAAAGTTCATCATTACCTTTTTACTATCATAAATGTCTTCCGTAGATATCTGTTTTTATTCTATTTCAATATCCTATTCTTGTGTTTTTATTACTTCTCGTTTGATTGAATAAATCTTTTTCAAACTGTGGTCAATTTGAAAATTATTGTATATATAAATATCAAATATTTCAGCGTAAAGAAAATTTTCTTTCTTCATTGTCATATTCAGTTGATGTGTGTTGTTTTTTCCAATCAGTTGTGAAATTGTATTCCTTTTTTTCACGAAAATAATTAATCAATTAACAAGTCTGATTAGTTTTTATCATACAAGTAGTCGATTAAATGTACTCCATATTTTCGTGAGTAAAATTAAATAAATCATTAATTCGACTAGAAAGTATAAAAGAAGCAATTGGAGATAATGATAAGAAGTCATAAATGATACGATAACATAACTAAAGATATAATGGTGTGATTTATTTTATGAAAATATGTTAATGAAAGTTATTGCAAATTAAATATAGGTTTTTAATTAAAGACGATAATCCTAATTATGATAAAAGAATGAATTGAATTGGTAAATTTTAATAGAAAATAATAGAATTTAATGAATTATTGAGAAAAGAAGATAAGGGTAGAAACGCGAATAGAAAATACGAAAGCTCAAAGAGAACAAATACGATCTCAGTTAATACAGTCAAGTAAACTGTATTTGTAGAGATAGATCATGTTTCATGTTTTGTATTCTGATCACTTCACTTCTACTGAGTACGACAAAACTGGATTATATCTCATAGGTGAAATATCAAATGATTCTGATGTTAAGTGATTATGATCAACTGTATGTTACATTGTTCTTTACTATTATCAGCCCTCTAATGCATTAGAACATAGTTGTTCATTTATGATCTATAAAGTCTAGCTGCATAAAGTAGATGAATAAGTATATATGCATGCACATCAAATTGTCCAGTCACTTATTCACGTCTTTGTATACAATTGAGAAATTCGTTTTAAATAATTGTTGTGAGTCTGCCCTAGTTGTTTGTGTTATAACTTGTGGCCTTGTACCCTATTAATATATAACGTAATGATACCGCCAATTAGAAAACAGTGACTTGTCAACCGGACCAATGACGCGTAAACCCGTACGACCAGTCCAGAGTCTTTATCGAGCCTTCTCCCTGTCTAGCCTTTCCTGTTAAGTTCAGAACACCAATCCCAGCCTCCGCGATATGAATCATGTATTTCAAACATACTGAGTTTATATACAAACCAAACAGACCACACCATACTATAAAATAGAAAACAACATTTATACAAGGTCTAGCCAGACGTTGTTGAGGATGTGGGAGACTGTAATGAATAGACTGTGCATAACTCAAGAACAGCAAATCGTATAATAATAGGCTATGGATCAAAATAAAGCTTATCATAAGAAGATTATGGACATACACAATCTAGCTCCTGAATAATTATTCATTAAGAATATACGTATTATATTTGTGCATAAATAGTTCTCAAAATTTACCTTTCATAATTCTCATCGGGATATAACAGTTTGTTACAGCAACCTATGTAGATAAGATTGCAAAGCGTTTGAAAATATGGAAATACCACTAAGATAACGTCCGTTTTTTATCATGGACTGACATCAATTGGATGAATAATTTTCTTAATCCATCCAATTAAGTAATATGTTCAAACACAATCAATTTTTCTTTAAGCATTTAAACTTTCAAACTTCCTTTTTCTTTTACCTTTTAGGGCTCATTCATTTTATCCACTAATTCCAGACAAAGTACTCGGTGTTTTGGAGTAAGTTGATTGCATTTTAATCGGTTACTATCCATAGCCTTACTGTTTAGATGTCCAGTTCCGTTTGTAGCTGGTATACATTCTTGTAATTTAGAGGTAAGTTTTTCTTTTGTTTATTTCTTCGATCATCATCGCCACTTCCCTCACATAATAAAATTACTCAGATTTTAATTTTCCATTGTTTTAATTTCTTCCCTGTTACAATAGTTATTTTACAACAGTGTTGAATATGTTGAATATTCAATTTTTCCCATCATTTTCTTCTTTTTGCTCAATTATTCATTCTTTGAATGTTGTTTTCTTTCCGATTTCTTTCTGTTATATATAATTTAAAAAATATTATTAATCAACATTATCATCATAATTATTAGAAGGCAAAAGAGCATTTAACCGCTGGAACACGTTTAGTGGATTTGGACTTGGGTCAAATTTTTGTGCACAAACCAACCACAAATGATTTACATACTGAACATATGGATATGGAGTTGGGTACACCAAAAGCAATAGTGAGTAATTGTTCAATCAAGTGATTCTATATAATATTTATTGAAAATATAGCTTTTTTAGAGAATAAGAAGTTGAATATGTTTAACAAATGGTAACCTTTTTTCTTCTTAACAATAGAGTTTATCAAGTTAGGAATTATAAAATAACTCAAGGAAAACAATAATTAAGTACCACATGATATCACGAATTCAATGTAGTTGAAGGTGGTGAGCACTGGATTTATAATTCAGTAACTGAATTGTTTGTTTTCCTTTATAAAACTCGAAGTTCTATAATGCAGTCCAATGTAAGAACCATGAGTACACATGCTGTTGAAGTATCCGAAAATTAGACGAAAATTTTTGTCAAGAATCCTTGATTTACTACAAAACCAGTTCGGTAACTATTTATTCATCTTGGCTTCTTAAAAAGAAGTGAAAATATTCCTTGAAAATTCGGATTGTTTTTTACTCAGTTTATAGAATTAACATCATAAATTGTTTTGATTAAAGATCTTTTATCTTTAAAATAAAGTTGACCACTGAATTTCTGATAGTAAATTACTCTGTTTGCATTCAGCGATTTTAAAAAATGAAGTTAGATACTCATTATTGACTCTGAAGGCAGGTTATTTCATGCTGAGAAATATATTTGAGTAACGTATTATTCAGTACACTATAAATTAATCATTCTTTTTTCATATGTTTATCGTAAAGCTTGATATTATTCGATTCGTATGGCTGTAGTTAATGTTACATGCAACAATATTACGGTAATAATATTGAAGTTGTAACCATTTGACTTAATTATATGTAGTGAATTTTTATAGGCCAGTCTTTCCTTCCGACGACAATATATGTCTATCAGAAAATGTAATATTAATGTTATAAAAAATATGCGTTTATTATTCATAGGATACATTAACAGAATAGTATCTACAAAAGTGTGGTTACACATCACATGCTTGTATTATTTTTCTTTTTTTGTTTCTGGATCACTATATAACATTATCATGAGATATTTGTCAAAATAGTGCTTACTTTTTTAATAACCAAAAGGTGATTACGTAATAAAGAATTCTGAACGTAAACATACACTGATTGATTAGTTAGTGTATTCGCTGTAACCAACATAAAAGAGGGTCACGTTTACACACCTAAAATAAATCAAAAAATGTCTCAGTACATTGATTTTTATAAATTTATTGCACACTGATTACTAGTCAAATTTTGAGTAAACTTTGACTGTAGGTGACTTATCGAATAAAATTCAATTTAAATAACGAATGAGACCGATTGTGTTAGTGAAGTAGAAAGAAGTCACTTCAGCGAAGAAATGTTTCTGGAAATCGTCGGAAAGAAATTTTTCTTCTCTGAATCGCCTTTCTTCTTCAGTAAAATCCAATCAATCGATTTCATTAGACTCAAAAGATTTCGAATAAAACATTAATTTTTAATCAAGCAGTAACAACAATTGAATCATAGTAATACGAACACATTATGATTTCATTGGTTTTTATCAGCTACCTATAGTCTTATTCGTAGTGTAAGATAATGTGTAAATTAAATAATCAATGTAGTTGATGCTAAAATGTGCAACCACTTTTATTAGTTCAAAACAGTTCACTGAAGAGTGAATTACCGCTAGTGCTCATATTGTCGACAATTTTCACTCATTTTAAAATGTTCGTGTTCAAAGAATTTTAGTTAAGGAAAAAATTGCTAATTAGGTATTACTTCTTTCTATTTAACTTTTTACCACAATATACATTCTTCACTTAGTTAATTGTTATTCAATCCACTTTAAAAATACCCTTTCCTTCACTATGTGATTCCCAATTAGTTGAATCTTAAAACTTATGTAAATCCCCAAATCATCAATAACTATTGCCCTAATTATCATATGGAATTTCGAATTCTAAACAACTACTGTTTTATTCTCTTTATGTTTTTTTTAAAATCTAAGCTTAAATAACCTTACACATTCTTCTATGTGTATATACGTAATGCTGATAACCCTTATCTCTTCAAATTTTTTTATTTTCCAATATTGATTCTTTCATGTTATTTTATCCTACATTGCGAATAAAGTCGTGAGTACTTAGTGAGAACTGACAAAATTTTAATGCATTCATATTGTTTTGCTTTAGTCGTTATTCCTACTTTAAGTTCATAAAAAAAGATCTAACCTTATAAAAAATAATAACTCAGTCATGAGTTTAATCCTCATTATTATATAGTTTTTATTACACATCTAATCAACGAAACGTTACGTTTACACTGATTGGTATCTAGGAGATTATCAATATTATGTTCCTTTATATCCTAGGCCTAAGCTTCATACTAGTTATCACTCATCAACAAGGTCACTCGAAGGAATAACAAAGAACTCATCCTACCATACATTTGCTAATACTACTGATATTAATCAAAAGAATACTAATCACATGTTATTGTACTCATTTCGATTTCATTTTCTTCCTTTAGTATAGTTTTTTACATCATCAATTAAAAGAAATTCAACGACAATTAAATGAGACGATGAATTCAAAAAAACCGAAAAATGGTGATTGGAAACAAGTTAATGGTGAAATACTTAGATGTTTTGAAAGATTAACTCATCCATTTTTTGAATTGATTGTTAATCTCTTAGGTAAGTTGGTACTAATTTTCTTGTTCATTTTGTAAACGCCTAGAAAGATTTCTCAGAATACATCCGTTTAGGGATATAATAAATCTGACTGTTTATAAGTATATGAGTTTGGAGTTATCCAAAATTCCTTACTCATAACTTTATAGATAGTTGTTTATCGTGCAGTACCATCCAGTCAGTCAGTAACAACGTTGAACTTCGTACGTACATACATCAGTTCGAGTTGCCATATCACATTAACACAGAGATACAGTTGTCGATTCAAATCCCGTAGTATTAGAAGAAGTACGAGTATAAGCAGTAATCAGAAAGATTAGAGTTTGAAGATATTATTCAAGGAGTATAATACAGTGAGATAAACTTGGAAAGAGGAAAAAAGGGACATGACAAATTCAGAAGATTAGAATTTGGGAGAACACAAAGAGTGGATGCACCTGCGCCATTGCAAACGATTTTGAGCCATGTCATTCAAGGTCTCTAACCATCGGTTGCTATCATCTCGCGGTCCCCAACCAGGTAGTCTATACCTACCAACATGGCTCAGTCCACTTGTCAGTGACTTCATGGATTTGCGCCATGTTTTGGTCTAGCCTCCCCTAGCTTTCTTCCAACCTGCTCCTACATTAAACATCGCACGTCGAGGCAGTCGGTCGTTGGGCATACGTAACACGTGTCCCAGCCATCTCAACTGATGAAGTTTCACTACGTCATGAATTGATTTGCCATCCTTACCTAGTACCCGTTTCCTAACAACTGCATTACTTACTCGATGGTCCCACGATATACGAGCAATGTTTCGAAGACACCTATGATCAAATAGTAGTAACCTACGAATATCCTCTACTCTTACCGGCCATGTTTCACTGCCATAAAGTAGGACGGAACGAACTGCTGTGCAGTAAACCCGTCCTTTGGTTGATAGACGGATATCTCGCCTACGCCATAAATGACGCAAGTTGGCGAAAGCTAGTCGAGCCTTCTGTATCCGTGCTGAGATTTCGTCACACACTAAACCACAAGGGCTGATGAGACTTCCAAGATAAGTGAAGCGGTCGACAGGCTCAACTACTTCACTCCCTATCATTAATTCGGGTGTCGATGCAACCCAATCCTGAAGCAAGATTTTGCATTTCGAGGGGTAGAATCGCATCCCGAACATGCTTGCATTGTTGCTTAGAGTGGTCAGAAGACTCTGCATTTTGTCAGCGTCTTCGCCAAATAAAACTATGTCATCAGCATATTCTAAGTCAACAAGTGAACCTCCCGGTAGAAGTTCAACCCCTGTAAATTTAGATGAGGAGAGTGTTATCTCTAAAAGTACGTCAACCACAAAGTTGAACAAGAATGGAGAGTGTGGACAGCCCTGACGAACACCACTTGAGGTAATCAATTCTGATGACAGTTCGCCATAAGCTCTCACTCTACCAGTTGTGTTCGAGTAGAGAGCCTTTATAAGGTTAATGTACTTCTTTGGTACTCCTTTCAGTGACAAATACTGCCATAGAACCTTACGATCAACAGAGTCGGATGCTGCCTTAAGGTCGAGAAATACTACCATTTTGGGGCGTCTGAACGTGTGTCTGTGTTCTAGAACCTGACGTAGTGTGAACATCTGATCTACACAACCATGTTTAGGTCGGAAACCAGCCTGGTTTTCTCTAATCTGCTCTTCACGAGCTTTGATTAGGCGTCGAAGTATTATTGAAGCTAATATTTTAGACACTATATTAGTCAAACTGATTCCTCTGTGATTGTCACAAGAGGACTTTTGTCCTTTCTTATAAACTGGCACAATCAGTGATTGAGACCAGTCAGATGGGATTACGTCCAGTTCCCAAATACTACCTAAGACCTTAGTCAATTTTACTACTAACTCTAGACCACCATCCTTAAAAATGTCAGGGGAAAACCTGTCAGGGCCTACTGCTCTCCCTCGTTTCAGATTACCTATGGCTTTTTCAACTTCGTAAAGAGACGGAGGACCTACGTTAACTTGCCATTCAGGTAGACTGGAGATCGTGGGAAACCGAAGTGTGGCTGAAGGCCAGTTGAACTGATCCCTGAAGTGTTCTGCCCATCGATCCAATCTCCTGGATTGTGAATGAATGATATGTCTATCTTTCTCTGACATTGTATTGCTAACAGCCGGGTGCCTAATACCGGTTTCCTTAGCAAGTCTGAACAGTTGTTTGCTGTTACCTATTGCCACTGCCTTTTCCATCTCTCTTGCTTTCGCTACCCACCACTGTTCACGATCATTGGGTAGACTTCTTGTCAGCTTGCGCTTAAGCTGACTCCGCTCTTCATTATGTTCAGAGCCAGGTGGAATGAGTTTCCGAGCATCTATCAGTGAGATAGATGCTGCTGAGATCCAGTGTTGCTCCGTAACCTTACGGGTTACCTTACTGGCAGATATCACTGCTGTTTCCACAGCTTTTCGGATATCATTCCATGCTGCTTCGGGGTGGACATCACATACATGGCTGCGTAACTGTTTTCCTAGTTGTTCCTGAAATATACTCTTAGCTTGACTATCATTAAGTAGGGCCCTAAGAGGTTTCCTTGTAGCGTCTTTCCTACGTTTAGTAAGAGGTAGACAAATACGCGCTCGCACTAGAGTACGATCTTAGTCTAAGCATGTGCTCCAGAATGAGCGACAGTCTTCTATCGAGCCCCTCCATCGGTGGCTGATAGCGATGTGATCTATTTGCGTCCAATGTTGGGATGAATTCAGGGGTCGCCATGTCAAAAGATGTTTTTCCTTATGATTAAATTTAGTGTTTGCAAGAAACAGGCGGTTATCTGAGCATAGCTGCAACAGACGGTCGCCATTATCTGTTCTTTGAGCCACTATGCTATAAGAACCACCCAGGTGTCTTTCCCTATCGCTTAGTTTACCTACTTGAGCATTAAAGTCACCGGCCATTGTTACTACATCCGAACGCCTAGCTTTAAGGAGGAGGTCGGAGAGCTTTCTGTAAAACTCATCTTTTACATCATCTGAGCTGCAGTTAGTGGGAGAGTAGGCAGAGACGACGAAGAGGCAACGACGAGTGTCCCTATCTTTCCGAGTCTTTACCATTCCGTTCAGTCGGAGAGCGTACAAACGACTGTCTACTGGGATCCACTCTAAGAGAGCTAGTTCTGCCCTAGGACTCAATGCTATACCTACTCCGGCGAGGTCACGGGAAGCAGAATTTGGGCTTCCAGATACACGAAGTGTGAATCGAGTCGGTTCTTTATTTTGGCATTACTTACTTACTTACGCCTGTTACTCCTCGTGAAGGAGCATAGGCCACTCACCAGCATTCTCCATCCAACCCTGTCCTGGGCAATCCTTTCCAGCTCCGTCCAGTTGTAATTCATCCTTTTCATATCTGCTTCTATTATCCGACGCAATGTGTTCTTTGGCCTTCCTCTTTTTCGCTTCCCTTCAGGGTTCCAAGTTAGGGCTTGCCTCGTGATGCAGTTTGACGATTTGCGTAATGTATGTCCTATCCATTTCCATCGTCTTTTCCTAATTTCTTCTTCAGCTGGAAGTTGGTTTGTTCTCTCCCACAGAAGGCTATTGCTGATGGTATCCGGCCAGTGGATGTTGAGTATCTTGCGTAGGCAGCTATTTATAAATACTTGTACTTTCTTGATTGTGGTTGTTGTAGTTCTCCAAGTTTCAGCTCCATACAGTAGAACTGCCTTGACGTTCGTATTGAAGATTCTCACTTTGATATTGGTTGAAAGTTGTTTTGAGTTCCATATGTTCTTCAATTGTAGGAATGCGACCCTTGCTTTGCCGATCCTCGCCTTTACGTCTGCATCTGAACCTCCTTGTTCATCGATGATGCTTCCCAGGTATGTGAAGGACTCTACATCTTCCAGAGTTTCGCCATCAAGAGTGATTGGATTGCTGTTCTCCGCTTGAATTTGAGGACCTTGGTTTTCCCTTTGTGTATGCTGAGGCCTACTGATGCAGAGACTGCTGCTACACTGGCTGTCTTCATCTGCATCTGTTCGTGTGTACGTGATAGGAGGGCTAGGTCGTCTGCGAAGTCCAAATCGTCTAATTGATTCTGAGCTGTCCATTGTATTCCGTGTTTTCCTTCAGATGTTGAGGTCTTCATAATCCAGTCGACCACCAGAAGAAAGAGGAAGGGAGAGAGTAAACAGCCTTGTCTGACTCCAGTCCTTACTTGGAATGCATCTGTCAGCTGTCCTCCATGCACTACTTTGCACTGTAGTCCGTCGTATGAGTTCCGGATAATGTTGACAATCTTCTCAGGAACTCCGTAGTGTCGAAGAAGTTTCCATAATGTCCTCCTATCTACACTGTCGAATGCCTTTTCATAATCAATGAAGTTGATGTATAGTGATGAGTTCCACTCAACTGATTGTTCGACGATGATCCGTAGTGTTGCAATTTGGTCTGTGCACGACCGATCCTTACGGAATCCAGCTTGTTGATCTCGAAGTTGGGCGTCTACTGCATCCTTCATCCGGTTCAGCAACACTCTGTTGAAGACTTTCCCTGGTATTGACAGTAGTGTAATGCCTCTGTAGTTTTCACATTTGCTCAGATCTCCTTTCTTTGGAATCTTGACGAGGTGTCCTTCTTTCCAGTCCATTGGCACTTGTTCCTCCTCCCAAATCTTTTTGAATAGAAGGTATAGCATGCTTGTGGTTGCTTCGATGTCTGATTTCAGTGCTTCAGCTGGTATGTTGTCGGGTCCTGCTGCTTTCCCGTTCTTGATTTGTCTGACGGCCATTCTAATTTCTTCCGTCGTTGGTGGGTTGACATCTATAGGAAGATCTATGTGTGCTGCTTCGATGTCCGGTGGATTCATTGGAGCCGGCCTATTCAGGAGTTCCTCGAAGTATTCCACCCATCTGTTACGCTGTTGTTGAATTTCGGTGATTGGCTTGCCTTCTTTGTCTTTGACCGGCCTCTCTGGTTTACTGTATTTCCCTGCTAGTTTCTTCGTTGTATCGTAAAGCTGTTTCATATT